GGAGGGGTGGGAAGAGGGGCTGGGTCAGAGAAGTGGAGGAGAGGGACAGAGTGGGGGAAGGATGAGGCAATCGAAGGCTTTGGTGACAAGGCAAAGAGATGCCAGGACACACGTGTGTTGGGGGAGAGGGCAGTGCCATCTGGAGGCCAATCAGAGCCCCGTCCTTGAGTAGGATGTAGAGTCAAGGCTGTCATTTGACACGTATGTAGCAAAGTGTAGGTGTCAGACTCAGGAGGGAAGGATAAGGGGTGAAGCACCAGGCCCCCCCAGCGCCCAATGGTCCCCATCACTCACAGAAAAACTTCCCAGCTCTGTCACACGGCATTCAAGGCTCTCTGTGGTCTTCTCTCAACCTCCCTTTCTAGCTTCATGGCCCCCTTTGGTTCACCAAACACCCCTGGGCATTTCCACCTCAGGGCCTTTGCTCAGCTGTTCCCTCTGCCTGGAGTACCTGTCCTTCGCATGTCCACATGTCTCAGACTGCCAGGCCCAGCTCTAGTGCCCCGTCCTCCAGGAAGCCTTTCTGATCTAGCCTCAAGGGTCTCTCACTCCCCAGAATGACTTTGTTTGACTTTGACCATGAGCCTGTGGAGTGCAGGGGCGCTCGCCCAGTTCTCTTCAGGCCAGCCCCTTGTCCTAGCACAGTGTCTGTGCACAGTGTAATCTGTACATTGTCAGACACAGTAGATATGTTTTAAGTTGACCTGAATTGAACTTCATGGGGAGGCCGCAGGAGACCTGATCACAACTACCATCTTCTGAGGGCCTGCTGTGTGCTGGCCCTCACAAAATGTCACACATGTGTCACCTCATTTGATCCTCACGGGAACTGGGTATTACGATACCAGTTCACCCAGGGGGGAAGGGGAGGCTCACAGTCTCTCAGGGGGCTACCCCCAGGCTCACCTGTGCCCCGAGTTCCCTCCACTGAGATTTCCCCCTGGGACACTGACCTGGCCCAGGGGGAGGAAGGCAGGCAGCCAGGACACGGCAGGGAAACCTAGACAGGGAGCCTGGAAAACCACTAACTGCCCCAGCCTGGTCCCCGACTCCCTATCTAGCTTGGCGCCAGCTCACGCCTCTCTCCACACTGTCCTGATCTGCTCGGTACCATCAATGACCAAACACGGGTCACACCTCTCAGTGTGGAGGGAGGGTAGGCTCTGGACCTGAGCAGTGAAGTGGGTATGTAATCAGAAGGCCTTTGTCCCCTGGAGTGTGTTCCTGCCTCTGCCCATCCCAGCTGGGCTGAAGGGCCCACTTGCTGAGGGACCTTACACCAGTCACTTCCTCTCTCTGAACCTCAGTTTTCCTTTCTGTAGGAGGTGGGGCTGGGCTGGGAGATCCCAAGCTCTTTGCTCAGGTGCCTCCCCATATAGGGAGATGGAAGGGGCGCTCTCTGAGGCAGGATGGGGGGACCAGTGGCCAGTTGCTTTCAGCAACTTGGAGAGACTGGCCCCTGGTGGACTCAGTTGTCCCAGACAACCTTGCAGAAGGACAGCCAGAAGGGATGGGACAAGGTCTACCCCCCGGGGCTGAGAGTTGGGTCAGAGACTAGGGCCTGCGTCGCAGTGGCGTCTACGCAGCTGTGCAGTGTGGGAACTAGGGCACCCCTTTCACCTGCTCTGTTGTCCTCTGCCCCGTCCAGGGTCAGGCTGGGCCTGCAGCCTGGGAAGTGCAGAAACAGGCTGCACAGACTGAGTGAAAACACCCCAGCTGTGTGACCCTGGGCAGGTGACTCCCAGTCTCTGATTCTCCGTTTTCTCACATGTAAAATGGAGACAGCTGCAGAACCCACTCCCTGGGCCGGCTGGAATGATCTAGGTGCAAAGGGCCGGCCCTACACCTGGCCCCGGGCTCTGCGCACCTGAGCCCCTGCCCTCCGCAGAGTCCGGGCATGCGCCCTCATGCCCGGCGCAGGCTCCCCAGCCCCCTTACCACACAGGCTCTGAATTGGGTAACGACCCAGTCCTGGCTCTGCCACCAACTGACTGAGACCTTGGGCAAGTCCCTTCCTGCTGTGAGCCTCAATGTCCTCATCTGGCAATGGGATTGAGGGTTGGACACAGTGGTATGTGAGGTCCTCTGGTCCAGACGGCCTGTGGGTCTCTGAAGTAAAGGGGACCCCCAGGAGCTGCAGATCACTGTGACTCCCCAAAGCAATCCCTCGGGCTCTGACAGCGGATCCTCTAGGGAGGGGCCAGTGGAGGGGTATGCAGGGACATTGAACATAAGGTTACTCAGCTTGTCAGCATCTCCCCACGGGGTGGCTTCAATGTCCTCTGTCTCTTTGGATCTTCCCAATGGTCTCAAGAAATAGGGATTTTTTACAGTGAAGAAAGTGAGGCTCAGAGAAGCTAGGTTACTCACGCAGGGTCACACAGCCAGGACAAGGCTTCACAAGGAGCTCTCTGTTCCCTCCCAACTCTCCCAGGTGGCTGTCCCAGGTTCACGAATGGGTATCATGCAAGAAGCAGGGCTCCTATGCTTATGAGCTGGCTGGTCTTGGAAAAGTTACTTAACCTCTTGGGACCTCATCTGTCTAATGGGAGTAACTTGAGGTCCTTTTATCTTGGGTCACGTGGGACTTCAAGACCTATTGTGCGAAGGCTCGTAGCCCTCTGCCTGGCCACAGAGTAGGTACTTGGTGCTGCCACCAATCCTAGGAAGAGCTTTTCCCCCGTGGTCACAGCCTCTGAGACCCTGGGGTGTGGCCCAGAGAAGAGGCACCTTTGGCTCAGGAATTTATGGAGGCTTTTGGGCACCAGAGTTTCAGAGGAGAGTGTCCCAACACTCTGAGCTTATCCTAAAGGAGTGTTTCTGGCGAAGCCAAAGACAACATAGACACTTCTTTTCCCACCGTGCCCAGTGGCGTCTCCCTGGGCCTGAAATCCGGCGGTATGGGTGGTGCCCAGAGTAGGTACGCAGAGCACCTACTATGTGCCAAATGCTGTGCTCGCCTCAGGGTGCAGTGAGGAACGAGCACCTGCCTTTTGGGGTGCTGAGTTCACCACAGATTACTGGGTCAGGACCCCAACCTAGCTGGGAGTCAGGAAAGGCTTCCTGGAGGAGGTGACATTGAGATAAGGCTGGAGGAGCCGTTGTGTAAGAGTCGGCCCAGTAGTGGGAGAAAGGGGAGTGGGAGTCAGGGAGGGGTGTTTGCAGGAGTTTCCAGGCAGGAGGGAGCAGGGCCATCTGAGGAGCAGAGAGGTGGCCAGGAGCACTCTCCAGGGCTCATCAAGCATAGTGTGTTAAATCATTATCCTGCCAACTTTTTTTTTTTGGTATGTGGGGTTTCTCAAGACAGGTATCTTTGGAGTTACTCTGAGCATTAGGGCTTCTGCAGCTTGTCACTGAGCAGCATTCTGCGAGGGCTTCATGGAGGAGGTGACATCCCAAGGGCTTCAGTTTGGTTGGCTTAGTTCTGTTCCGCCTGTGCTCACCGCCAGGCCTGGGACTGCAGAGCAGAAACGGGCACGGCCCCCGCCGGCTTGGGGGCCAGAGGCACACTAAGTGCCTGCTCGAGGTGGAGGCAAAGCAGTTTGCCTGAGGGAGGGAATGACAAGCTCTTTCCGGGCGGGGGACAGGGAAGGAGGTTTCCCAGGGGTTTCTTCACAAAGGAGGAACTGGCTGGGCAGATTCTGAAGCGTGTATAGGAGACAAGGGTGCAAAAGGGATGGAAGGGAGTTCCAGAGAGAGGTACAGATGGGAGCAAAGGCCCGGAGGTGGGGCGGGTGGGATATTTGCACAAGGAGAGGTGGGAAAGGCAGTCCAGGCAGGGGGCACAGCGTGAACAAGGGCAGGGAGGCCGGCAGTGGGAGCCTGGCCTGGGAAACAGCTTGGCTGGTATGTGACTGGAGGAGTGGAAGGAGAAGCTGGAAGAGCCTGAGGTCTCAGCGGGCCTGGTCAGGGGACAATGGCCTGTGTGGGTGACCTCAGTGAAGAGAGACAAGGTGGTGTCCTAGCCCTCAGGGACAGGGGGTGGGAGCATCTGTGGAAGCACAGCTGTGGCACAAGGCAGTGAGCACTGGCTTCTCACCTAGTTTGGTCACTCACTGGCTGTGTGGCCTTGAGCGAGTCACCATACCTCTCTGATCCCAGTTTTCTCTTCCACAGCACGAGGAACCAGCACTGTCTTCTCAGGGATGTGTGTAGTGAAAACACTGTTGAAATGAATTTACTTAGCGGTTGTTAATTCTCACCCGAGGATATTTTTCCATTAATTTTTAGAGAGAGTGGAAGGGGGTGTGGAGAGAGAGAGAGAGAGAGAGAGAGGGAGAGAGAGAGAGAGAGACATCATTGTGAGAGAGACACATCGATTGGTTGCCTCCTGCACGCACCCTGACTGGGGCCAGGGATCGAACCTGCACTCCAGGTATGTGCCCTTGACCAGGAATTGAACCCAAGACCCTGCTGTGCATGGGCCAACGCTCTAACCACTGAGCAACACTGGCCAGGGCATGAATTGAATTTTTAAAAAATTTGGCAGCTCGTTTGATTGCCTTGGAGGCCTCTGTGGTGCTGGTGGGGGGATTTCAGCAGCTGTTGTCAGTGCCCCACACTACCCTTTGGCGTGTGTCATTCCAGCGCGTGCCAGTGGCATTTTCCTAAATCTGCTGTGACTGACAGCTTTTAGTGTGCCCTCAGGGTGGGTTGGAAACCCAGGGAAGTAACACCCTGGGGCATCCCTCTGCAGTGGAAGATGGAAGTGGTGGGTAATACCCCAGCTCCTGTCCCCTCTGGGGGACGCCCTGAGCATGGTCCACGCTGTCTCCCAGGTGGCCCTGGCTGGCCCCAGCCCGTCGCTCACAGCAGTGACGGCTCACTAGCTCGCCTGTGTCTGCTGCCCCTTCCTGGTCTCCTCCCCACCACCCTCCCGTAGCTGCCTGGGCTCACTTCCCAAATAGACCACTTGTACCACCTTCTTGTCGCAGAGTTTCCTTCTGGGGGGACCCAACCTCAGATGGGGATAAACACTTATTCAGCAAATACTGGGTGGCCAGCCTCAGTGTCCAGCATAGGAAGTGGGTAAATTTATTCTGATCAAACCTCAGAGGGAATATTATGCAGCCTTGAAAAATCACCTCTCCAATGAGAGGTGAGGGCAGGAAAATGATCGAGACAATGTTGTCCTCTTTATGCTTAGCTGAGTTTAAAAATTTTTATGTTGAAAATCAGTAATGAAAAAAAGAGAAAGCTCAGTTAATTGCACAGTGCTAGGTGACTTTGGTCCCATTGCAGGCCCTCTCTGGGTCTCAGCCTCCAGCATGAAGCAACTTGGGCTGGACTGGAGGGCCCTGGACTCTGGAGCTGGAGGCTGACCCTTCTGTCTTGCCTGCTCCCCACAGGTTTGACAACTATTCAGCTAACGTGATGGTGGACAGCAAGCCAGTGAACCTGGGGCTGTGGGACACAGCCGGGCAGGAGGACTATGACCGGCTCCGGCCACTGTCCTACCCGCAGACGGTGAGCTCCCTCCGCCTTTCCATGCCAGCTGGCCTCTGCTCGCCCTGTTCCCTCTGCATGGGGTGCCCTTGGGCCAGCTTGGCCTGGTGAACCCTGACCCTTCCCTTAAGGCCCAGCTCGAGGACTCTGCCTTGTCCTCCCCAGGCACACTCAGGGACTCCTCCCTCTGCCCCTAGCCTTCCATCAGTCCCCAGTTGCCACTCTGCCCTCTTCCCAGTCCCACCTCCCATGGGCTCCGGTACACCTACTCCCTCTGGATGGGGCAGGCAGATCCAGGACGGGGCTTCAATAGGGAGCCCAGGCCAGTGAACCCTGGGTGTGCTGGGTGAGGGAAGAAGAGACTGGGTGAGCCTGCAGGTAGCTCCGTGGCTGCTGGGCAAACCCCTCCACCACCCCTTCCATCCTTGACCTTCCCTCCAGGGGTGGGGTAGTGAGTGCCTGTTTAGGAGCACGGATTCCGGAGCTCCAAATGGCAAACCCGTTAAGCTTTGTAGCCTCACTCTTCCCATCTGTGGAATGGGGGCACAGCCCGCTGCAGGGTGCTGTGTGAGGATGGACCACTAAGGACAGACCCTGGGGCAAGCAGCGGCCTGGGGGTGAGGGGGGCAGGCAGGCAGCCCTGCCCTGCCAGACCCTAACCCCCAGCCGGCGTCCCTGGGCTGCTCAGTGCCCAGTGCTGAGGGGACGGGCCCAGGTAGGCTGCCCCTGGGCTGCCCCTCATGGGTAACCCTGCCTGCTCTGCCCTAGGACGTCTTCCTCATCTGCTTCTCCCTCGTTAGCCCTGCCTCCTATGAGAATGTCCGTGCCAAGGTGAGCTGGCAGGGCAGGCCTGGGGGCCCGGGGACAGGCGACCCTCAGCAAAGGGAGGAGGGAAGGAGGGACTGGCAACCCGAAGCCTGTCCCTGGGGCAGCAGGGGTTATGGGTAGAGAGGGTCCCCAGTACCAAGCAGGGCTGGGGGACTCCAGGGGTGAGGCTGGGAGGGGGG